TGACCAACAACCCTTAAATATACTTGATAAATGGAAAAATATCCTAAAGATTGATATAACTGAGCAGGAATGGTGTATGTCTCTTAGAGACACTCGTAAATACATTCATTGTCAGAATTTATTTGAATGTCAATATAAGGTTATGTATAAATGGTATCTGACTCCATATAAATTAGCTAAGATCAAACTTCTCACTGCTGGCGTTGTGGCTCTACAGAGGGAACACTTGTTCACATATGGTGGCATTGTAAATTGGTTAAAAACCTTTGGGAGTGGTCCTTCGAAATTCTTAAATGTTTATTTAATATCACAATCAAAAAAGGCCCAGATACAGCATTGTTACATTTAAACTGGAAACTCTCTTCCACTCCATCTAAATGCCTTGTAAACCATTGTTTCCTGGCAGTAAAAATAATAATAGCAAGGCAATGGAAGTCACATCTCCCTTTTTTGAAGAGTCAGCTTGTCAATCAAATTCTATATCAATTTCAAATGGAAAAAAGATTTACCACTTCCTTCTATATTATCTTTAAAAAAACAAGATCAATATATAAATTGGATACGGATCTTAGAAAACAAATAAATTAATCCTTTGTACCTCTTCCTGCTTGGATTGCGGTAGACCCTAATAAAATTCTTATTATAGGGATACTTCCTTTTAGATTTTCAGACTGACCATGGCCCATATATATATGTATTTATATTTACACATCTATATCTATTTTTTGCTAGATGATAATTCTATAAGATATAGAATATATTTGTACTGTGAGATCTTTAGAGATTTACCTAATATATAGGTTTAAATCAGTTGTAACAATGTAAACTATATGGTTTTTTTTTTGTTTTGTTTTTTTGTCATTGTCACACTTGTCTTGTTTCTGTATGCACTTTATTATTTGTTAATGTATGAAAAAATGTTTTAATAATAAAAAAAGGAAAGAAAAAAAAAAGAATGTGTTAAATTTTTATGGGATCATTTCTAGTGCTTTGTTAAAAAAATATTGATAATAGTAATTCTGATCGTCTGTCTGCTAGGAAACTTAAGACCCAAGTCTCTCTGAGTTACTTTTGCATTGAACAGAACAGACCATGCAAGCAAACATATTTGTAAAAAATGCTAATTTTGAACAAATACATATCGGAAAAAAATTGACTTAGATGCATATACGATTCAAGAGTATAACTTTTATTTATTTCGATTTCTGGGTTCAATCACATCAAAGGAAGCAGCATTTCTGTGAGGTAAATGTCTAAGCACTTAATATGTCTGGGCAAGATTTTCTTTACATGTACAAGGTATAAAAAAAATCAACATCTGAATAACAGTGCATTTCCAAAAAAAAAAAAAAAGGAAATAAGCAAGACGGATTAACACAATTAATAAAATTAATAATAGGGAATGATTTTGCAGAAATGTTGGAAAAACTAAAACCACACATTGAAGAGGATATATTTAGTTTTCTTGTAAAATTTGAAAATGCATAATTTGCAAAATTTAAAACCACACATTGAAGACGATATATTTAGTTTTCTTGTAAAATTTGAAAATTGCATATTGACCTTTTTCTGAGGATCAGTTAATTAATGAATTTGTGAAAAATTTTCAAGATCTAGATCCAACTGCAATTGTGTTAGCTAGAGAAAAAAAGCACTTTGAATGATGTTGCTTTATTCTTGGATAACTTAAGGAGAGTAACCAATAATGAAGGGGTTAAAATGACCTGTGGAATTAGGCAGAGAAAGAAGTGCAGATTTGACACCCCTCGTCCCCCTCCTCCTTTTTCTAGGACAGAGTGTGAAAGAGTGATACAAACAGCTGAGCCACTCCTAATTTGCTCAAATCAAAGGCAGAATATAACTCCTAAAGTTATTTGTTTTTGGTGCAATAAACAACATTATTTAAGATCTTGCAGATATTTTATCCGAGCTATCAAATCAAAAGCAAATGAGAAATTAAATTTGTTGATTGAAAATTTTGACAGAGAAAATACATGTAGAGATAAATCAATAAAAGCCTTTCCTTGTAAACTGATAATCAGACAAATAAGAGCAATTTTAGCTAAATCGAAATTAGGAGACAGACAAGCAATGCAGTGTAACACAGAAAGTTATAAGGATCAGATAACTTCAAGAGATATGATCAGTTTAGGGAATGAGCATGGATATGTGTGCCAACAGATGTACACAGGCTGATTCCAGAATTAAGGACAGCACACAAGAACAGCGATCTATGTTAGTTTGTTGTTTTAATGAATTGTTATTCTGAACTGTTTTTCATTGTTTTTATGTGTGTTATAAGAAAGTATTAGGTTAATTCATTAAAATAAAAATTTACATCAAGTTTGCAAATATGGCAGAATGAAATACACTAATGTAGCAGTTAGGAACATGCCATGTATGTTATATTGAGTGTATGTGATTATACAGTAACTCCAATCATTTTACAGAAGGAAAAAAAACAATGGATATATTCATTGTTGCATCTGAGGTTGATTTAAAATCTTTGATTT